ACTGTGTATTTGATAAGCATTATATAAAATCTCTGTATTTCCATTACAGTACAAAATAGGAGCGTAACTTTAAGGCTGAGTGTAAAGTGCAAGTTGTGGGTGGTAATGGTGAGCGATGAAGGCTTATATTGCTGCTGGAGTCTTTAATAGTTCATTTCTAAACTCTTTAAAGTGTGGGAGCTTTTGTTTTTTGTTTTTAATTTGGAGCATTGTCTGGACTCCAAGGCACGAAGGGGTGCACACCTGGGCCCTTATGGGGCACTGCCCACGGGACCGCCACAGAGATGTTTGGATTCGCAGGATTGAGCCAGATGTGGAAATTTCACCACACAATGCCTGGTGTGACACCGTCAGCCGTGGTTACTCTGGCTGGCACAATGGTCCTCAGTAGACTGAGAATTTGATTATGATGATTGGGACTCCACTGAAACACACTTTTAACCTTAACTCATCTTAAAGTTTATTTGGGAATATAAATATAAAATGTTATTAATTGCAATTTCTCTCTCTGAGGCCTGAGCAATTTTCCAGCTCTTGTTTCTAGTCTTGCAGACTCCTTAAATATCAGATCTTGTGTGGTAAGTTATTTTATGGCAAAGATGGTACTGAAATGCATGTTACTAATTACTGAGAACGAAGCATATTACATGAAACTAGCCGGAGAGAGCCTTGCCCAAAGGGTCCCACAGGGATACATGTGCAAGGTTAATGCTGATATTTCATGACTTACTTGTTTAACCATGCAACATTCATGGTCTCTTTATGTGTTTCGTATCGATGTATATTGTGTACTTGTGTGCACACGAGACATATACATTGAAACACTGATTTAGCAGGTTTACATGTGCAGTAGGTACCGATGCTCATCAGGGTAATTCCTCTACCCTGCCTGCTCCATTCTGGCTGGCAAGTATGGTAATGAAGAGCACAAGAATCCTGCACTTCGTTCACTTCAGAGAGCAGAAATATTTTATATTTTAATATCCCTCAGCTTAGAAGAATAGTTACAGTGATGGGACAACTCTATCACAAACACACCTAGCCCCTGCCCTTCGTGTTGTCAGCTATTGTGTTGTGTAAACCTTGTTTTGTGAATCTTTCATGAGCTGGCAATTAAAGAATAAAAAACAAAACAGTAACTCTATGTACTCCTTCACTTTACACCAAGGAGTTCAAAGACCCTGACAAATTCTAATTCTCACAACACCCCTTTAAGATAGCTAAGTACTATACCCCTTTTATAAACAGATAAACATGGGCCCTGGCTACAGGACAGGAATATTTCAAATAGTTTTCCTGGCCGCTAACACTGTTTCAGCTCCACCAGTGTTAACCCCACTGGGACCCCGCCTGTGGATTGCCTAGTGTCTGCTGCCACTGTTTGAAGTACCATGTTATCTAATGCTGCTCACAGCAAGCCAGGATGCTTAAAACAATGGTGGCAGGTTTTTTAGTCTATGTTTATGCTACAGAGGCACAGCTGTGCCACCATAGCTCAGACACTTGCTACAGTGATGCAAGGGATTTTTCTGTCACTGTAGTTATCCACCCCTCTGAGCAGTAGTTTAGGTGATGGAATAATTCATCTATTGACCTTGTGCTGTCTACGCTGGGACTCAGGTTGGCTTAATGATGTCCCTCAGAGATGAGCGATGTAGCTAGGGCAACCTAACTTTTAGGCGTAGACGTTGCTAATACTGGTAATGGTGAACTGATGTTAGCAACTGGGAAAGCTCTGAAAAAATTTGCTTAGGCCAGGTCTACACTAAAAAGTTAAGTCAACGCAGATAGGTGATTCAGGAATGTGAAAACTCCACACCCTGGAGCAACGTAGGTAAGCCGACCTAAGCCCTTGTGTAGAGGACATTAGGTGGATGGAAGAATTCTTCTGTCAACTTAGCTGCAAGCTCTCGGGGAGATGGATTAATTACAGTAATGGGAGACTCCCTCCCATTGCTGCAGTGAGTGGCTACACTGAAGTGCTACAGTGGGGCAACTGTACCAGTGTAGCAGTTTAAATGTAAACATAGCCTGGGTGTAGACAAGGTTTTGATGTTGTGACATTCCCAAAGTCACACAGTGAGTCAATGCCAGTACTGTGCTCTAAGTCGGTGGTTTTCAACTTTTTTTCTGGTGACCCAGTTTAAAAAATATTGTTGGTGCCCGTGACCCAGCGGAGCTGGGAATGAGGAGTTTAGGGTGTGAGAGGGGCTCAGGGCTGGGGTGAGGGCTGCGGGGTGGGGCCAGGAATGAGGGGTTCAGGGTATGGGAGGGGGCTCTGGGCTGGGGCAGAGGTGTGGGAGGGGGTCACGGCTCTGGGCTGGGGGTGCAGCAGGGGTGCTAAGGCAGGCTTCCTGCCTGTCCTGGCACTGTGGACCATGCCACGCCCCGGAAGTGGCCAGCAAGTCCAGCTCCTAGGCAGAGGTGTTCAATTGGCTCCGCGTGGCTCTCGCCCACAGGCACTGCGCCCCCAGCTCCAATTGGCCGGTTCCCGGCCAATGGGAGTGTGGAGCCAGTGCTCAGTGCGTGGACAGCACGTGGAGCCCTGTTCTCTCCTCCCCTCCTTCCTCCTCCCCCCCCCCCCCCCAGGAACCAGACCTGCTGCTGGCCCCTTCCAGGGTGCAGTGCGGTATCAGAACAGGTAGGGACTAGCCTGTCTTAGCCGGGTAGCACCACCGACTGGACTATTAATGGCTCAGTCAGCAGTGCTGACCAGAGCCGCCATGAACCAGTGCCTTACATTCCACAACCCAGTAATGGGTCACGACCCGTAATTTGAAAACCACTGCTCTAAGTATGTAAACAGCCCTTTCCGTTTGTTACAAAGGCCACTGTCTAATTGACAAGGAAAATTCCTAGTGTGGGTGCATTTTATAGAGTCAGAAAGTATTTTTGCAAACAATACTTGTGCCACACCCCTTTACCATGGAATACATGTCCCAGAATGGAAGGTTCTAATCTGCATTATACTTATACTCAAATGAAATATCTATCTGCTAATGAGATTACACATATCCTGTATAGATACTGACTTCCAGCTGTATGGTTACCTCTCAAACATCCCATAGCACAAAAATATCCCTGTGCTCTGACTGGCTGGGGCCATTCAGAGCAACTCCCTGCTGGACTCAGTCTAAAAAACATCTCTCGGAGAACATTTTCAAGTTGCTGCTGGCTACATCTTCCACTAGCACATCCTTGAGCAGAGGTACATCATATAAGCTTCAGCCTTAGACTATGTCTACACTGTACTTTCGTCGGTAAAACTTTTGTCGGTCAGGGGTGTGAAAAAAACACCCCGGCCAACCAAAAGTTTTACCGAAGAAAAGCGCAAGTGTGAACAGTGCTATGTCAGTGGGAGACGCTTTCCCACCAACAAAGCCCTCCCACTCATCCGCAGGAGAGCTCTCTCCTGCCGACAAAGAGCAGCTACGTTGTACCTTACAACGGCACTGCTGTAGCGGCACAGCTGTGACGCTGTAAGGGGCACAGTGTAGACACGGTCGTACTCTCATTTGCAGCTTCAGAATGGTCCAGCTGTGGAGAATCCTGCATAGCTACCTCACTCAGCTATTTAATGGAGAGGTGAGGAGAAATTTGTACAACTACATTTAATACAAAATGAAATTTCTCGTTTGGGGTGAGGCCCTGGGCAGCAAAAAGGTAGAAGAGCAACTTCTGCCATAATGCTAATCTGAGTGTGCCTGCTGTTTGAGGAAATACAGGCTAAATCAACCTTAGTGGCCTTTGGTCTCCAAGTTCCCTAGCTCAAAATGAGATTATTATACCATAAAGAGGAGACACCCTTAAGTTATCAGCGAACTAAAAAAGCACAACTTGTACTTGCACATTTATGATTTTAAATACTCAATGCATTGATTTACAGAGCATCTTGCTGGGTTCTTCCTTATTCTCCTCAATGCCCCAGTTGAACCTTGGGTTTTTTTAAGCCTTTTGAATCATCCCACGTCTTATCTCCTGGGCATTTCCTCCCTGCTGTTTATCAGGCTAGTTTTGACCTGCTGCACGTGCATCCCATTAAGGAAATGAACTTGCAGTATTTTTCCACCCCATGCCATAAAGCTAGCGCCCTGCCCATGTTGCATCCAAATATTTCAATTGCTTCACAGTGCACCTGAAAGCCAGGAGCGGCTGGGCGGCGCGGCCGGAGCGTGGGGAGGTGGTGCACAGAGATCCGTTTGCCCGGAACACACGCTGCTTTGGTTGCAATCCCTTTGCCAGCAGCGTGATGGTTATCCTGGCTCCGGCTGCCCAACACAGTACGCACAGTCCGGGCCCTGCAATGCAACCGAGGGAGGCACTCAAGCAAAGGTTATCGGGGGGGGACCCAAAGGGCGCTTCACTTTGTAACCATAAAAAAAGTACAGGGAAGAAAGCAGCCAGGAGAGTTAAACAAAACCCCGCGCCCTGGACAGATCCAGGCCGACAGCCCGGTCCGGCCTGTGTGTGCTGGGGAGAGCCGCGCAAGGCTGCTCTGGGACGCTGCAGGTTTTAATGAGCCAGGCTGTAGCCCCGCGGAGTCGGGGTGTCACTGAGCGAAGCCAGAGGGGCCGCCCCCCGGCAGTCTGTGGGGGGAGAGTACGGGAGGGGGTCTCTGAGGGCTGTGACTGGCCTTTGGGGAACGACCCCCCCCCCCAAGCTCTTCAGGGGACAGATTATGTCCCCGGAGCGCGGGGGCTCCCTGGTCTCTTGCCCGCCCCCGCTGCTCCGGCTCCAAGTTCCAGTCACTCCAGCCCACCCATGACCCAGTGCCCGCATCCCTGGCGTGCAGCTGCCGCCAGCCCCCAGGCTCAGGCCCCACGTGCTCAGCGCTGCCCAGAGTCCCGGCTCGGCAGAGATCCCCGGCAGCGCGGCTCCCTCCAGCCCGGCTCCGCCGTCTGCAGCAGCCTCCTCCGCGGGCTCGTAGCTCCGCCTCTGGCGGCTCGGGGACAGCCCCATAAAGGCAGCCGCCGGCGGGCAGCGGGACCCGAGCTGCAGCATCTGCCCGGGTGCACCGCGCGCGGCGCCTGGCCCGTCCCGACCCCTGCCGGCCCCCAGCGGGGAGGCAGCAGCTGCCCGCGCGTGGGCAGGGGGATCGCGGCGCCTGCCCGCGCTGAGCCAGGGGCAGGGACCGAGGGGCACAGGCATTGCCGAGCGCCTGGCGCTCCCAGCCTGGGCAGTTCGGGGCGCTGGGCGGATGAGCTTGGAGATGAGACAGGTGCCCTTAGCCGAGGGGCTTCTGGCTCTTCCCGCAGCCCGGGCACAGGAGAAGAGCTCGGGGGACCACACAGCTGTCAGCGGACCTCAGTCCTTTCAGATCGTCTCTTTCAAATGGGGGCATGTGCAGGAGCCCTACATCATTGCGCTCTGGATACTTGTGGCCAGTCTGGCCAAAATCGGTGAGTCCAGAGCTCTGTGTACATCTGCCCTGGCTGATCTCCCCCACTTTAAGTAAAAGAGGCTCGTTATCGCCTGCATTGTTCCCTTTTCTATACACAGGGGGGCTGTTTTACTGGATTCTTTGCCAGCTTCGTTTCTGAAGCGTGCCATCCACAGCGTTCAGCAGTGGGGTTTTGGCTATACCCGTGGATGACTCACGAGTGCATTCTCATTGGCTGGGACCATAGCGTTTGTATCTGATGGTTTATGAACGCACTCTTATTGTCATTGGTCCCGGGGAAAGTGTTATAAAACTAAACCAAGTGCGGAACAGGAAATCAAATTTGGTTGTCTATAAAACGACTGCACTTGCTTCTGATATACCTTCCACCCCTTATAACTGGCAGCAATGTTATATAATGAAACTTCAAACAAATACTGCCAACCCACTTATCTGGAGCATTAGTATCCTCTGCTCTTGTTATTCAGTATGGTGTTACCCGCAGGAGAATGCAAAAGTTTAACCGTTTAGCCTATGTGAAATATGGGTCAATTTGTATGTTTTAACTAACCAAGAGCTATTGTTTTCTGATCCATGTGACATTTCTAAAAGTGCAAGAGTTTCTCTTTCCATATTATTATTACTAAGGTCCAAGCAATTTTATGTTTGTTTGCTAGTGGGGGTTTTTTTGTTTGTTTTCAAGTGGTTTTTTGTTTGTTTTGTTTGGTTTTGTTTGCTTACTGGTTAGCCGAAATTGATGTTAATAGGTTGATGCTATTATCTGTGAAGGCCAATGTACCACAAACTGGATCTCGAATTTTGCTGTAATGTTAAACATCTTACATGGGTGATTCACCTCCAAAAAGAAACCGAATGCAAGTGCTATTGGCTGACTGAAGGGCCACACATTTCACAGATGAATTTCCTTACTTGTGTTGTTAATAGTAATAATTAATAATACTTTAGATTATTAAAATTTAAAGATGTTTACAAATTTAATTCATTGTTCACTTTCAATGTAGTTTGCAGGTCGCTCAGATTGGAAATTGTAAACAGACGAGTCTCTTTCACTTTTTGGATGGGGATACATTCTCACAATGCAGCAGTGTTTGGGTTGTAAACAGTATTTAAATCCAAACAAAATTGTTTCCATTAATATTTTAAAAATGAATGAAGGATATGAATGCCAGTTTCAGTATAACTTTTTAAAACAAAACTTAAGTTTGGGGCTTCATCTTCCTGAAAACGTATACGTAAACTTAAGATCTCTGTGAGAATAAAGTTATGAAACCTATCAAGAAAATGTACTTTGAAAGTAATCTCTTGATGAACAAGATACCTAAATTACCTGTAAAACGTAGAGTTTTGATTTGGTTGACTTTCATTGACAAGTTATATCAATTTGAAGAGACATAAAAACTGCGCAGTGACTGTTATTCAGTAGCCTTGGATACTTTTTGACTCTGAAAAAACAAAATCGGTGATTGGAGAAAGAGGTATAGGCAAAAGAGTAGCGCTATTGTCAGCAGATAAATTCAGAAATTACAAAAATACACCTGTTGCCAATTTGAGCCTCCTTTTCGGGGTACTCTCCTAGTAAAGTATTTTAGGGTTTGTGGTTTGTGTTGTTATGAACTGGCTTCTGTGTATGTGTACCACTGCTCTCTACTGAATGGAATCAGTGGTGTACAGCTCTGTGTCATAAGCACTATACAGCTAACAGCTAGTGGGGATTCTCCTTTACTTTTGAAGCATGATGAGTTCTATTTCAGCCTTCACCCTGAAGTCCTGAGTAGATGGTGTTGTGCTGCATAATGGTGTCCACTAAGTCTTTGGTGACCTTGGATTTTTTCCAGTATCATTTTAAGGCAGAGGCAAATAATTCAGGAACTGCATCTGGCTCAGTTTTTAAATGAGTGGAGCTCTCTTCATTGCTACACAGATTCAGTGACCATTGGTGGTGGACAGTGACCCCAGATACTTCCCTTCTCCTCTCTGCTCGTTTTTGTAACTGTGTTTCACTTGAGGCGGTCTCTGGAGGGGCACTGAGCAATAACTGCATACTGTAAAGCACAAGTAGCACGTCTTGAGCTGGCTTAGCTGCTCCCACCAGCCACCAATCAGATGAATGAAATGCAGAAGTGACCACTGCTGACTGGTGCAGACAGAGCCAGGGTGTCTGATCTGCAGACAGGAGTAAGTTTTTTTTTCAGAGAGACAAAGTGGGTGAGGTAATATCTTTTATTGGCCCAATTTCTGCTGGTGAAAGAGACAAGCGTTGGAGCCACACAGAGCTCTCCTTCAGGTCTGGAAAAGGTACTCAAGAGTGTGACAGCTAAACGCAGTGTGGAACAGATTGTTTAGCTTAAGCAGTTAGCCCATATTCTAACAGACCATTCAAGGTGAAGTTTGTTTCAGTCAGATCAGCTGCAGCGCTGACTAAACGGGATGCTGGAAAAAGGGAGGTAAAAAGGAAATGAATGTTGTTGAGCAGGATTTAAGGAGGGGAGCTGAAGAAAAAGACTAAGGGGGAACTCCCGTGGGTAAGCCATAGAAAGAAAGAGGAAGAAGACGAAATGCAAGCGGGCAGACTTTCTGTCTTGCTCTGCTTCTTTTGTAGTGCCAAGGTAGCAGTGAGATTAACCTCAGCATCCTGGCTAAGGATACCGCCGAATGGTGGATTCTTGAGCAGACATGGAGCTGGCTCTTATACCTCCCTCCCTGTGGCCCCTGGTGCAGTGCCCATGGCAGAAGATGGGAGAGGCATTTTGGGGGTGAGTAGAAGTGGCTGGAGTAAAATGTGCTCCAGCAATCCCTAGATGGCGGATGGTCCCTAGGAGCTGCTCTAACCACACACCACACAACAGAACCACTAACCCAGGAACCTATCCTTGCAACAAATCCTGTTGCCAACTGTGTCCACATATCTATTCAGGGGACACCATTATAGGGCCTAATTACATCAGCCACACTATCAGAGGCTCGTTCACCTGCACATCTACCAATGTGATATATGCCATCATGTGCCAGCAATGCCCCTCTGCCATGTACGTTGGTCAAACTGGACAGTCTCTACGTAAAAGAATAAATGGACACAAATAAAACATCAAGAATTATAACATTCAAAAACCAGTTGGAGATCACTTCAATCTCTTTGGTCACTCGATTACAGACCTAAAAGTTGCAGTTCTTCAACAAAAAAACTTCAAAAACAGACTCCAAGGAGAGACTGATGCATTGGAATTAATTTGCAAACTGGATACAATTAACTTAGGCTTGAATAGAGACTGGGAATGGATGGGTCATTCCACAAAGTAAAACTATTTCCCCATGTTTATTCCCCTGCTCCACCCCCACTGTTCCTCAGACATTCTTGTCAACTGCTGGAAATGGCCCACCTTGATTATCACTACAAAGGTTCCCCCCCCCCCCCCCCCCCCGCACCCCGCTCTCCTGCTGGTAATAGCTCACCTTAAGTGATCACTCTTGTTACAGTGTGTATGGTAACACCCATTGTTTCATGTTCTCTATGTATATAAATCTCCCCACTGTATTTTCCACTGAATGCATCCGATGAAGTCAGCTGTAGCTCACGAAAGCTTATGCTCAAAGAAATTGGTTAGTCTCTAAGGTGCCACAAGTCCTCCTTTTCTTTTTGCGAATACAGACTAACACGGCTGCTTCTCTGAAATCTAACCAGTTTGGGGCTGGGGCTGGGCAGAGCAAGGGGGATCCTTAACAGTCCCATCTGCTGTACCCAGTAGAAAGCACAGCAGAGAATCTGTCCCATAAAATATTTTTTAAATTGCTTGATCAACTATCTGATGCCAAAATATTGCTCTAAAATATGCACCAATACGTTTGATTTTATTAAGGTGCTGCTAGTGACTCCATAGTTACTCTTCTGATGAGATCTGCAGGTATGGTGAGGATTAAATCCTTTTGTATCTATATATAAATATAATCAAATGACATGATTTTGTAGGATGAGGATTATTGGAAGTTAATGAATGGAAGGTGGGCAAGTAAGCTAAGTCTCTCTTCGCATGTGGAAGTAACCATCACTTTTATTTTCCCCACCAGTAGTGACACTGGCTTTATATGTATTTTGTGCATCTAATGGGCAAGTGTGTGAGTGCATTTAGGACCTGGCCATTGTGATTCATATTTGTTTGCAGAACATAATGTGCCACTGACACATTACTCTAGTGAAGAACTTTCAGAGTATTACCAAGTAAGCTTACATATATAATTGATTATAGTTTTTCTATCTGAAATGGGGTACTCTTCAAAAATGCAGAAAATTGCATGTGGTATTGCAGTTTTCTGGGAAGGATCCACTTTCCCATTTTCTTTTCTTTTCTTTTTTTCTGCATCAGGGATACTTCTCCCTCCTGCCCAAGTTGGTACGATGGCAGGTATGGGGACAGTGTCAGCACTTGTCTGGCCTCCTTCACTGTTTCCCACGCTGCACACATTTTTCCTTGGATTGGTAGTGGCTGGGGACAGTCAGGTGGGAACGATGTGACGCAGCTGAGTGTGCTATCTCATATATCAAACTTAATGAGATTGGGTTCTATTCCTTTAAAAGGTTCCTGTTACCTGTTCTAGGATACACAGTGTTATCCTTTGGCCTATGGGATTTATTTCTTCTCATGAAAGGCTCCCTTATCAATATCCTTCGGCAGGGAGGCCAATAAACTCTTTATATGTGAGAAGTGAAACACATGAGTAGGACCATGTCTAGCCTAGAAAGGTTTCAGAGTAGCAGCCGTGTTAGCCTGAATCCGCAAAAAGGACAGGAGGACTTGTGGCACCTTAGAGACTAACAAATTTATTAGAGCATAACCGTTCGTGAGCTACAGCTCACTTCATCGGATGCATTCAGTGGGAAATATAGTGGGGAGATTTTATATACTAGACTAGAAAGGGTTTGCTGTTATAGCTATGCTGGCAAGCCCTCCTAATGGTGATGCAGCTTATCTCAGCGAAAGGACTTCTTAGTCTGCATAACAGCTT